ACTTGTCCGGGTAGTGTTTTATACTGGTCGTGACTTACTGGTCAAATGTCCACCCTTGAATCATAAAACTTTAATATGGAATAGCACGCTAGAGTTATTCGAAAACTGATTAAACACATAGCATGCAACCATTCACAAAATAACATACATGTAAAATATGTCATAACATGTGTGTAATTGAGATATCATGCATACGTACACATCATCAACAATTCATTTCATGCAAAAATAATTTGTACTTAGGTATGCATCCCAGTGAAATCTCATGAAGACTCACCTGATAACGAAGGTTGCTTAACTAACGTCGCTGACTGGTAACCTACAATTTATAATAGTGAATAACATATAAATGATTAATTTCTCCCAAAGGCTAATATAAAAGTCAACTTACGGTCAACTACGTCGACTAGGGTCAACCTTGGTCAACTATGCTTAAAAATGCTCCCTACATCAATTAAAATTATAGGAACCGTGAGTTCCGACAAAAGGTGTATCGTTTAGCTATATATCTTAAAATGACGTCATAAACGTGATTATTAAGTTATCTATTATATGATAGACATGTTAATAATTACATATTTCGAGTTAAAAGCGTCCTAATAAATTTACAATTCGAGTAACACTTCGTATAGCCAATTATTTATTTTATAACTCCATAACATCATCTTTTATAAAATAAATGTCTAGACGATATATATATATATATATATATATATATATAAACTCAAGAGCTACGCTTTAATCTCATAAAAAGACATCAAATTATTTAAATGATTCATTATAATTATCACCAAATAATTACATAGTTAACGTAGTAAATTTTAACCTTGACGGTATTATTTTTTTTTATAAGGCTAAAAAGGTCACGTATTTCTCAAAATATACATTCTTTAATTTTAGAAGCATTTTGGTAATTTTATAAAAATAATAATATAATATAAAAAAAAATGAAGCTCATAGACCAATCCCCAAGATATATTGTTATTTTGGTAAATTTTGGAAGCAAATACGCAAAGTATTGTTAAAATACCRATTTTCCATTTATAGGGTCATTTTGGTAAATAAACGAGATAATTAATCAAAAATGAGGTCAAAGTTTGCATTTTACAAAATACAAACAAACTTAATGAAAGTCTCATAAAATTATTATGGAGAAAATTATTTCTAGAAATTGAAGGGCTAAATGCTAATTTCTAAAACTTAAATATTTAGTGTATATTAATTATATCCGTGCATAATAAACAACAAAACATACATTTAATCTATTGGTTAACCCTCCATGTTTTCTAGTTAAGGTCACGTGATCGAAACCTACAATCATCATGCGCCCTTACATTTTTCTATTTAAAAGGTAAATGTGACCCAACAACACAGCAACAAAGAACAGCAAAGTACTGCACAATTTCAAACATAAAAAGCTTGAAAATAGCTCGTTTTTTGACATTTTTTCTTCATTCTTTTTGCACTAAAACCTTGGTAATATTTTTACCAACATTTTGACATAAATAACAAAAATTTTCGTCAAGAAATGAGTTCCATTTTCTCATTTAAAGTTTTAATTTTAAACTAAACCGAACGAAACTTTAAACTTCGAAATCAAACCATAAAACACAAAATCTGGAACGTGATGCTACTAGGGTTCTATAGAGGACTTAAAAACGAAGCTAACCATATAAAGAACATGAATTTTAGTTGAGTATTTTACCTTTAATCGACGAAAAACGAAGATTTCAGATGGAATTTTCGAGCTCCGATTTCTCTCCCGATTCTCAACGAAATTTCAAAAGGTTTGAATGAAATCTGTAGAGGAGAACGTTGTCTACATATCTCTGATTTTTTTTTTGGCTTATTGGTTGACTGAAAGAGCCAATAAGAAGCCTCAAAGGTTGCATCGTTCCATCACTTTCAAGAAATCAGAAAATGGCATAATTACATAACAGGTCCTTCTGGTTTGGACCTGTTAACACCTGACACACCCCCTTAACTATCACGAATTTACAATTTTTACCCATGTCTTGACTTTTTCTTTCACCTTTAGTCCGATTTTGAAACTTCTTTTAATTTTTTTTTTCTTTATTTATTTATTTAACATATATGTGTGTATATATATATATATATTTATATATATACATAAATACGTGTGTGTGTTATAATAATAATAAAAATGAAAATAATAATAGAGGTAAATTATTTATTGCTCGAATTTATTTATTTATTTATTTTTTTTTTTTGGGTTTTACAATAAGCGTGCTCATTAATGTTTGTGGTTAAGCATGCTCTTTAATGTTTGTGATAACGTGGTTTGACATTGATTTATATGTGGTAGGTATCTACATAAAGTAGAAATTATGGGTCTAAATGTATAAATAACAATCACTTCCTGAACAAAAATAAACCAAAGAAATTCTAAAAACTGGTTATACATAGGGGTGAGCATAGGCGGGTACCCGTCCTTTTTGACAG